CCATCCACCCCTCTTTCTACCTTAAACCAGCCGTCCCCTGGTTAGGCATCCTCCCATTGCCCACTAAGACCCCAAAATTGAACAAAGAACAGAGATAGCAATCTAAGTTCGTAAGAGCGCTTTCCGACCTTTATTCATCCATCAATTATGATGGACCCTCTTCCTCCCTCACCACTGGCGGACCCTCCCTTTCTATATGAGCATTCTCTCTTGGAATATTAGGGGTATCGGCTCTAGAGAAAAACGTGCCCAAATCAAGAGCATCATCCAACACCTCAACACATCCATTGTGATTCTTCAAGAAACGAAGTTGGAATTTGCTGACAGATTTATAGTCAAATCTCTATGGAGCTCTAGAAACGTTGCTTGGGCTTTCAAAGGGGGCAACGGGGACATCTGGCGGTATCATCATTCTTTGGAATGATCCATCCTTCTCGGTGGCAAATATTACTATCAGTACTCACCCCCTTTCCCTCAAGATCGCTCTTTTGGATGGGTTCCATTTTTGGCTATTTGGGAATTACGGTCCATCTAGAGCTAGGGACAGACACCTTTTCTGGGAGGAGCTTCAAAATCTTTCCCTGCATTGCTCTGCATCATAGTGTCTTGGAGGCGACTTTAACACCACCAAATGGTCGCATGAAAAATCCCATCAACAGAGAACTACGTGCAACATGAGACTTCTCAACGATTTCATTGAAGAAGCCAATCTCAGTGATCTCCCCCTCACCAATGAAACCCAATCCAGCTCACTTTGGGAATTAATCAATGGGTCCTTCTCCCTTCCATTTCGAAAACATGTGGATGCAGCACCCATCATTCTCTCCTATTGTTCCTATGGTGGAATAGTGGTGGAAATCAAACCCTTTGCAGGGTTGGTCGGGCGATGGTTTATCCTAAAATTAAAAGGCCTAAAAGCAGTTGTCAGATCATGGAAAAAAGATACTTTCAGATGCATCCACAGGCAAAGGGATCAACTTCTTATGGAATTAGCTGCGCTAGACACAGATGAAGAAACGGGGTCTTTTCAACCTGAGGAAATCCCCCGGCGAATAGCTCTGAAAGCACAACTCCTTTCATTAGCTGTCAAAGAGGAAACACATTGGCGTCAAAGATGCAAGGTGAAATGGCTCGATGAAAGAGATGAGAATACGAGCTTCTTCCATCGACTGGTGGCTGCTAGACATAGAAGAAGCACCATTTAGGAAGTGTTTTCCCGAGATGGCAGAAGCTTGACAGAAGACGGGGACATAGAGCATGAGTCCCTCTCCTTTTATGAAAGCCTCTACACAAAGAAGGAAGGTACTAGATTTATTCACTATCCTCTTCAATGAGATCCCATCTCCTCTCACCAGAGAACCCTTCTTGAGAGTCCCTTTACAGAAACAGAAATTTGGCAGGCCGTGAAGGATTTGTGACACAACAAAACTCCTGGCCCCGATTGTGAATTCTATAAAAAATACTGGAACATTCTTAAAGAAGACATCCTTATGGTGTTCCAAGATTTTTTTCAGAAAGGGATCATAAATGTCAGCCTCAATGAAACATATATCTGCCTAATCCCCAAAAAAGTCGATGCTCAAACAGTCAGTGACTTCCAGCCCATTAGATTTATTTCATCTATGTACAAGATCATTGCTCGAGTCCTAGTTGAGAGTTTAAAGAGGGTCCTTCCATCCTCTATCACTCCCCAACAATTCGCTTTCGTGGTTGATCGACAAATCCTAGATGCTTCTTTAATTGCCAATGAGCTCATTGATGAATGTAGGCGGAAAAAGGAGAAAGGGGTGGTGATAAAATTAGACATTGAAAAGGCCTTTGACAAGGTTGATTGGGATTTCTTGGACGGTATCTTAGAAGCCAAAGGTTTTGGACACTGTAGGAGGTCATGGATTAGAGGTTGCATCTCTTCCACGAACTTCTCTATCATCATTAATGGCAAGCCTAGAGAAAAACTCAAGGCCACTAAAGGCCTTCGACAAGGTGAACCCCCTTTCCTCTTTATCCTTGTTCTGGACTGTTTAGCCGTCTACTCTCACATGTAGCAACATCAAAGCTGATAAAGGGCTTTACGGTGGGTCAGAACCAATTGGAGATTCACCGCCTCCAATTTCCAGATGACACCATCCTCTTTTTTCTCCTTGGATGATTTTCATCTTACAGATCTTTTCAACACGATTCGGATCTTTGAGTAAGCATCCGGGCTAAACTCCAACCTCCAAAACACTGAATTATTGGGTGTCAACATGATGGGTTCTGATTTAGACCTCCTAGMCCGAGCGGTTTTTTTGCAAAAGGGGATCTTGGCCTAATTCTTACCTCGGCCTCCCTYTGAATGGTAAACCTCAATCGGTCTCCTTTTGGGATCCCATCATGGAGAAGTTGAGGAAAAATTTGAGCTCTTGGGCAAATTATCCCATTTCAAAAGGGGGTGGCTCACCCTCCTCCAAACTACTCTAACCAATCTTCCTATTTATTACCTATCCATCTTCTCCATTCCAACACAGGTGGCCAAAGAATTGGAGAAACTCATGAGGCATTTTCTTTGGAGTGGCACCAACACAAAAAGGGGACAGAACCTTGTGAGATGGGAAAAGATCATCCATCCTACAAAAGATGGAGGCAGTAACATTAAAGACAAAAACGGAGCCCTCCTTGCAAAGTGGATATCGAGGTACCATGTGGAAGAATCCGCCCTTTGGAGGAGAGTCATTGTTGCAAAATATGGGCCCATCAACCATCACCAGAACACCTTTCACCATTCCCTTGTCACGGTCCCTGCCCCTTGGAAGTATATCCTCAGACACCAATCGCTTATCATGGACTAGAGCATCTTCAAAATAGGTGATGGCACTAAAACTTACTTTTGGAAAGACATTTGGCTGGAGAWCGTGCCTCTGTTTATCGCTTACCCGCTTCTCTTTGCCTTACGCACCAAAAAATATGCTTTTGAAAGGGATATATGGTCATCAACAACAAGCAATTGGGACCTCAGTTTCTAGCGGAATCTTAAGGACGCAGAAATTACTTAATTAGCATCGCTCCTTCATAGTCTTTCTTCCTCTCACCCAAACCAAGATAGTGACAGAATCTTTTGGAGGCTGGAACCGTCGAAATCATTCACTACCAGATCTCTCATCCATGATTWGCCCAACCACACTACCTCACCCAATGAAGCTTTCCTCTACAAATCGATCTGGAAAGAACACTACCCAAAGAAGATCAAATTCTTTCTCTGGGAGGCCAGTTCGTCTGCCTTAAACACCCATGAAAAGCACCAAAGGCAGCCATCGACTTGCCTTTCTCCACATTGGTGTGTTCTCGACCGTCAACATGGTGAAACACAGGGGCACGTATTTGTTACTTGCAGATTCGCATCCTYACTATGGGACACCCTCTTATCATCTTTTGGTTGGCCAATAGCCTTACCATCAGATTTACACATCCTATAATCATCTACACTAACAGGTCACCCTTTTGGAAAGAAGGCAAAAATCCTTTGGATGCTATGCTTTGGTCGATATGGTTGGAAAAAAATCATAGGCTCTTTCAAGGCAAAGAACGATCCARTAGCAACATTTTATATTCTATAGTGTCTTTGGTTGTATCTTGGTGCAAATGTTCTCCTATTTTTCAACACTATAGTTTTGTCTCTCTATTAACCTATTGGAAAGCCTTATTGTAGCTACAATGGTTTGGGATTCTCATCCCCTTTTGTATATCTTTCATTTCATTACATTAATAAATTGTCTCTTTTCCAAAAAAAAAAAAATCATTCAATCTGGCTCAAAGAGCCTATTTATTTTAAGTGATCCAACAATTAAGTGACAGTTAACTAGCAGTTGGTAACTAATAGATAACCTAATACATACAAGAATACTTTGGAAACAATCAAACTAACACATTCTAGTTAATCAGTGCTAACTCCAATCTTGAAAACCTAAAAACCGACATCCTCTTAAAGTACTACATTATATACAACTGACATTAACCATGAAAATAGTAATATAAAGAAACGTTGATAAAATTTAAATTAAAAAATAAAAACAAAGCCAGATATAGAGCATTTTCCTTTTCTAATAACTACAGAGCAATCACAATTACAACTCATGACAAGACATCCAAAATGCAAAGATGAAAATGTCTTCAAAAATACAAGACACATACACCATGCAAGGAGACTAATAATAAACAGACAAGAAGTTGCATATGGAGATAGTTCATTCTCAAAATTAACTAGGCAAYCAAAGCATATGAAACATGAGGAGTGGAACATTAAAGGAAAAAAATAATTTATCATAAGCCAAAGTTTTAAAGGAAAATATTATATATTATATCATCTTAATATGACCAGATCTTTTAAATGACAARGCCACACCATTCTACTCCAAACTAACATCTTATTAGACAAGAATTTTGAGTTAAGTTAGCAAATGCTACAAGATATCCTAGATTTTTTATCMAAGAATACAGACATAGAATTCTAGATTCAATTACAGTGGATAGATAGCTAACAGCACATCAAATATGGAGTTTCTATTAGCAAGGGTAWGATTTATTGACACATTTATAACAGTTGCACAGTCAATCATAAAAGGAATAGGATGCCAACAAAACRAAACAAGGTTAATCAAAATAACAAATTCAAGTTGTATACACATACCTTGACACAGTGCCATTTAATGATGAGGCAATTATAATATCCTTTAAAACTGAATATTCTTTAGAAAGACCGCCCAATTTTGAAACTTTACGCTTTGCTTTAGCTGTAATATTTAGATTTTGAGATTCCACATTCGATAAAACTCTATCTTGCACTGTCTCCGAGACTGTAGTTGATTKAACATTTATAAATACTTTTGTCAGCTGGTCTATTTTGAAAGCATAATCCACATATTCATTTGACATAGAAGGTTGAGAATGATTGATACTTTCCATTGCACACGGAATTATAAGAGTCATCATATGCTGATGGTCCTTTACCACCCCTCACATGGAATGTACAAAGATCTGAAAGCACTGGGATAGTTACAAGATTTCCACGGAGCAAACAACGTTTATACAACTCATTGGAAGCAATYGTCTGCAGAGTTTTTTTAACATTATCATYTCCTAAGGCYTCCTTAATAAGTGAGTGATCRCAAGGACTCTCCAYAGGTAAATTTGAYACCATGTCATCACAATTTGGAGATGCAGACATCCCAGTACTTGGTGATGATAAATTACCATTTTCACCACGATCATGAACCTTTCTTAAATAAATAGAGGAGGAAGAGAATAAGTTGTTGTCTTTTGTGGATATATTGGAAGAAGAAGCCAGCTCCAAGAACAGTTCCTTACAATTATATATTCTCAGAGATTCAACGTCTGTGCTCTTTAATTTCCCAATTTCATTTAACTTACCATTGCATGGGTGGTTTTTTAAAGGAAATATAAACACAACACGGCCTGATCTAGGACAACCCAAGGTGTATGAGAGATTTGTTGATAATTGCACTCCATCATTTAACTCCTATAGAGAGAATAAATTAACATAAGAACAAATTTCAAGCTAAAGTTTCTAACATGTTCATATTTCCAAACTGAATTTTTTTTAAGAAACAACCAWAGATCTAGACTCGACATAAGATTTTAAAAAGTTTGCAACATAAGAGCATAGCTCGGCAGTAATTGGCATATACCTCCAACCATGAGGTTGTGAGTTCGATCCCCCATTCTCACATGTTGTACTAAAAAAACATAAGAAATGTGGACAAAATATATTCTACAATGTCTATACYCTATATAACAAGGGTTATATAATAACAAAGCTCAAATTTGTGAAGCCCTCTTCCCCATTCCCCTCTTGCTCCTCTTGTTCATTTATTAGTTTTTGTATCKACTGAGTGATAGGCCCTTATTAGATTTACTTATGCAAGAAGAACTAAAAGGAGGGCCTGTAAGGAAAATTAAGGTAGTAATTAGGCGGAAAAGTAGTTAGAAGGAATGTAAAGAGTGGCTATGCCCATGT